AATTCACTCACTTCAGCCTCCCAAAGGTGCGGGATTACAGGCTGAGCCACTGAGCCCGGCAATTTTTTAAAATTCTTAAGCTGACAATTACCTTGAAGTTTCTTCTCTGTATCCATTGACAACTCTTCCTGCAGCTTCCTAGAGTTTATCTTGGAGGCATATTTTAATTAATCCATTCTTGATTTTGGAGCAGCTGCATTGTCAGCCTGTTGCAGAGCTGTCATCCTGGGACTTGGCTGTATCCTAGGGATTATTTCTTCCTTTCTTCTGACTTGAAGTCTCATTTCCTGATCTATTTCTTGGTTTGCAGGAATTCCTCTTTCCCCAGTGGCTCTTTTGGGTCATAAAGGCAGTAATTCAACAATAGAGGTAGTGATGCCAGCTCTCAAAATTTCTTTTTTTTTTTAGTTGGAGTCTCACTTTGTCGCCCAGGCTGGAGTGCAGTGGCACGCTCACGGCCACCGCCTCCTCGACTGCTGGGCTCAGGCAATCCTTCTGCCTCAGTCTTCCGAATAGCTGAAACTGTATGTGTGTGCCACCACGCCCAAATGTTTTTTGAGTTATTGTAGAGACGAGGTCTTGTCAAGTTGCCCAGGCAGGTCTCGAACTCGAGTTCAGGCAATCTTCTCGCCTGAGCCTCCCAAAGTGCTGGGAGCCACCGCGCCTGGCAATTTCAAGTGACAGTGATCCAATCTAAGCTGGTTGTCTGTTATGGCACTTGCACTGCCATCACGGGATTTCCCTTTAGCACTTTCCTTTACCTTTGGCTCTCCTGTTTTCTGTATGCACATCTTCCTTTTCTCTTTTGGTGTATGCCCTCATTTTAGAAGAACTCATCCTCCCATAGCTTCTTGAGAAAGGATGCATGGGAGGCAACATTTTTGAGGCTTTGCACATCTGCAAATGTGTTTATTCTACCCTTACACTTACTGAATAGTTCAGCTGGGTGCAGAATTCTGGGTTGGTGTCTTAGTTAAGGAACAGGTCCCAACATACTATAGTTCAAACAAAATAGGAGTTTATTTTTCTCTTCTATTGACAGTCTGGAGGAAGCAGGCAGGGAGACAGAGTTGCCCAGGCACCCAGTTCCTTTCCAATATATTGTCCACCATTCCCTAGTCAGTCCTAAACCAACTTACCAACACCGCATCTGAAGTCAAGCCCACAAGAAGGGGAAAAGAGGAAGTGGGGAGCAAGCAGCTTTCTTTAAAATTGTGGCCAAGAAAGTTGTCTCTGCTCATGTCCAGTTGACTCCTGTAGGGTGAAGTTATTTTCTCGTCCATCTTTTTACTCAGGGCGTTGCTTTTGGGGGTCTTAGTTTCACACAAGGGATCCAGAACCAATCTCCCACTGTGTGAGGCCCTGGAATTCGTTTTCTATGTTGAGTCTGTGCAGCCCATTACAACCCCAAATCCCAGGTTCCAAGGATAGGCAGAGGCCCCGGCAGAGTCACTGGCTTCGGGCCTAAAGGCTTCCCCACATTGAGCAGCATGTCCACCCCTCACCACGGCCCACGAAACCCCAGACGATGCGGCCCTGCCATCTCGCCACCCACACCTCGTCCTCTCTCCCTCCCTCACACACCAGGCCCCGGACCCTCCATCACCCTCTCTGTCCCGAGCTCTCCAAGCTCTTCTCTGCACCACCCAGCCTCTCCACATGCTGTTCCTCTGCCTGGAAGACTCTTCCTCCAGATGCCCATTTGGTGTGTTCCCTCATCGTGCTCAAAGGTCACCCCCAAAACCTTCGCTGACCACCTTGAGCGGACCAGCCCTTCATCCCTACACCTCCCGCTTTCGCTTTTCCTTAGGGCACCCATCACTGCTGACATGGTACTGCCTTTTAGTGTATGTGTTTATGGCCTGATTTTCCCGTCAGGTCTGTGACTCATGAAGGAAAAGCAGCCAACACAAGGATGTGTTACTGAGCCAGCTAGGAGTGAGTCCCTTCCTGGGGAGACTGAACAGCAGCTTAGAACTGTCAGAAGAGAAGGGAAAACCTGGAGCCCTGCATCTATGAAAGTCTCTGGTCAAGGGTGGTCCCACAGGTGCTTCACTCCCCTGCACTTCTGGGCTTCACCTGCAGCGGAGAAGCCCTCGAGCCGGAAACAAGAGGCTCAGGCCTGAGGTGGAGGCTGGCAGGGCTGTCCCCGTGTGGAAGTGACTGCAGTGAGGGGGGGGCTGAGACACAGGGGCCCTGCGTGGGATGTCTTCCACTTAGAAGAGTGGCCGGCACACAGTGAACACTCAGTGAATATTTTTGAGTGATGGTGTTGCAGTCTAGCGGAAGAAAGGCAAGAGGTCAATAAGAAAAGCAAGTGGGTTGTGGGCGATGATGGAATATGTGTCTGGCAGAGCCCACAGCAAGAGCCTGTGCAGCCTGGGTAGAGGGCGGGGAGGGCGAAGGGCAGAGACGACTTTCCGGAGGACATGGTCCTTAGGCTGAAATCTGGACGATGAGCAGCAGTTAACTGCACAGCTACAGAGCACTTGTATATCTGTGTAAAAGTATCAGTGATAAAATCACAGGCAATCTGTATCAAGCTTTTTTTTTTTGAGTAGGAGTCTCACTCTGTCACCCAGGCTGGAGTGCAGCAGCACACACTTGACCTGCTGGGCTCAGGCGATCCTTCCGCCTCAGCCTTCCAAGTAGCTGGAACTACAGGCACGCGTCACTATGCCTGGCTAATTTCTGGATTTTTATTGCAGAGATGAGGTCTTGCCAAGTTGCCCAGGCTGGTCTTGAACCTGTGGGCTCAGGCAATCCTCTCACCTTAGCCTTCCAAAGTGCTGGGATTATAGGCGTGAGCCACCATGCCCCAGCCAGTACCAAGCTCTTTCTATGCACCAGACACTGTGCTGGGTGCTTGACGGGCCTTGTTATTTAATCCTACAGCATGTGGACAATTCATTTTATCCAGGGGAAACTTGAAGCTCAGAGAAGTCAAGTGACTTTCAGTGACAGGGGAGAGATAACCTCTTCCCCTCATTTTACTTAGGGGACTGAGATCCAGAGCAGGGCAGTGACTTGCCTACGTTCACAGAAAGTTATGGGCAAAGCTCAGACTAGCCTCCAGATCTCCCAACTCCCGGGCTTGTGTTGCTGCTTCAGAGCTGGCTAGACAGAACAGGGGCTCAGGAGTGGGGTAAACTAAACACAGCCTGGCTAAGCTGGGTGGGCCCTGCCTCCCCAGCTACTACCAGAAGAAGCTGAAGGAAGGCACCTACAAGGCCCAAGAGATGAAATCAGCCATAGGCCGGCTGCGGTCGCGGAGGAAGCTTCCCCTCAACCCCCAGCAGGCAGAATGCTTGGAAGTTCCAGAACGAAGGGTCCTCAGGATCCTGAGCCAGCTCAAGCAGAACTATGGTGAGGGCCCGGGGCACGGTGAGCTGGGCTGGGGGGGGTCCGCTCTCCAGCCCGCCTGGCCTCTTTTCCCAGGGCCTCCACATAGCCAGACCCAGGGAGCTGAGGCCTCCCTTTGGGCTTGGCTGTGTGCATCAATACATGGGCCGAGTCACTGCTCCACATCCAGCCCTATGACAACCCAGGCCTCCTGCTCTGGACTCTTCCCCTCCTGCCTGAACCCTGAGCACGGTTGGTCCCAAAAGCCAGGGCTCAGAAGGGAGGAGCCGCAGCGAAATCAGCAATCCCAGCTCACTGTTGACTGAACACCCACTGGGGTCAGTCACTGCTAGGCCCTTTGTAGTCGTGCTTGAGTTGAATCCTTGCGATCACGTATTTACCACTTTATAGATCATAAAACAGAAACCGATGAATTTTTTTTAAATTTTTTTGAGTTAGAGTCTCACTCTGTCGCCCACACTGGAGTGCAGTGGCCGCTCCCGGCCACCGCAGCCTCCCACCTGCTGGGCTCCGCGATCCTTCCGCCTCAGCCTTCCAAGCAGCCGGAATTATAGGCATGTGCTACCATGCCCGGCTGATTTTTCGATTTATTGTAGAGATGAGGTCTCGCTGCCCAGGCGGGTCTCGAACCCGCGGGCTCAGGCAATCCACTCACCTCAGCCTCCCAAAGGCGTGGGATTAAAGGCTGAGCCACCGAGCCTGGCATGAAGTTTAAGCAACTTGCCCAAGTGCCCCAGCTAGTGTATCGGAAAGGGAGCTGATACTCCAAAGTCTATGCTCTTCCCACTGGGCAAGGCTGCCTCCCTTGCCTGGGTACCATTTATTAGTCTCTTGTTGTGCCAAGTGATGGGGCAGGGGCTTTGAGGTCTTACTAGCGTGTGCTTTCCAGACTTTGCCAGGGCCCATCACAAAGATATCTGCTCCTTAGCGTGCCACTGCACTGCAGCCTGGGTGACAAGAGTGAGACTCCAACTCAAACAAAAACGAAAACAAAGACATCTCCTTTTTAAGTTGTATCAGCCCTTATTCTGTGCTCAGTGTTCAGCTGAGTGCTTTGCACATATTACCCGCTTAATCCTCATCAATTCTGTGAGGTGAGTGCCACTATCGTCTCTAGCTTAGAGGCTCAGAGGTTAAGTGACTTGCCCAAAACCACCCAGCTCATTCCGTGGCAAAGCTAGGACTTCGTCTGGCCTGTCTCCCTCGGCTGGGCATGTTCTGCAGCATTCCTCTTCTCACCTCCTTTCACCAGCTCCCAACCTGCAGAGTCCCTATGCCCAGGTGCCCTGCATCCCGCTCTGCCCGCGGTTGGACAAGATGGTCCGTCAGAAGCAGGACAAACACCACGTGCTGGATCAGTACACCCTCCCTGGCCTGGGCCTCGACATCCACAGCCTCTTCTTCCAGTCAGGGTCCCAAGGAAGCAGGTGGGTGTCCAGAGGGCAAGGGCCCCAGCCCAGGCTCTCGCACTGCTTTCCTTCAGAGGCCCCGGCCTAATGCCTAGGAAACCTTCTTTCCAAGGGGTGATGGCCAGGAAACTGCTTGCTCCAGGGAGGAGAAAGGGCGGAAGGAGAAGAAGCTAACCTTTGTTGAGGGCCTGTGGACCAGGCAGACTGTCTCATTGAAGCCAGAGTTCTCACACCTCCCAGCGTCCAGGACACAGTGGCACTGTGTGCTGGAGGCTGCTAGTTTTCTATGGGTCCACATGAGGCTTAGCAACTGGGCAGAGAGGAGGGTTTCTGCAGCAGTTCCCTTCCAGGCCCCTGGGAGGAAAGGAGCCCTGTTCTTGAAATCAGGCCCCAAAATCTGACTGCTAGCTCCATCATTTCCATGGACACAGACAGGGGTGGCACACAAGGATGGCTCATGTCCTGGCAGGACTATGGGGAAAGGGCCAAAGGCCCCCCCCCCTGACAACCCCCCCCCCCACCAGGGAACACAGCTCTGACAGCAGAAAGTGGCTCAGCTCTGTCGGCTCAAACCCACTGACGCTCTGGAGTCCTGACTCGGAGTAGCTGTTCAAGGCCTGCAGACAGATGGGTCATCAGGCAGGGGCACTGTTCAAGGGTTTGCTTTTGTGGCCTAGAAAGCTAATAAACACCAAGAACTTCAGCCTCTGTGCCTGGTGCCAAGAAGACCCCAGGTTTTCATCCCCACTCAGCTCACGGAGTGCAGGGATCCACCTCGAAGCCCTGCCTAGGGCTGAGGTTCCTGCGAGAGATGCCCCGGATGCCGAGTTGCGACCTTCCACGTGCTCTCACGGCACAGGGCTGGGTTTCCCCCTTTGGACTGGGAGCCCGACAGGGGGAGGAATTTTTCTCTCCCCACTGGCTCTAGGGCTTGGTGAACATAAGGGCAGGACCTGGCCCTGAAGATGCAGAAGGGCAGGTGGCCCCAGCCATGCTCTCGCCGACAGAACCCCAGGTCTCAGGGGTCTCCTTCCCTTGGATCCCTGAGGGGGTGAGTCCTTGCCCCCCACCCACAAACCACCCAGCCTAGTTCTCTACCAAAGAAGAGAGTCTCCCCCTGGAACTGAGCAGAGATAGTGCCCACGGCTAAATGAGCAGCCACAGCAAGAGGTAGGAGGCCAGGGACTGAAATGAGGACAAGGATCTGACAAGTTTAAAACATGTATTTAAAATACAATTTATAAAATGCTTAATCTGCCGACTCAGGAGCCCGCGGTGCAGGGGGGGTGGGGGTGGGCAGCTGCCGGCTACACCAGCAGAACAAGGCTGCAAGAGGCGCAGCCCTCCCTCCCATGCCCTTCTGTTCAGACACCCAAGGGGCTCGTGTGTACCCCTGGGATCACATGATCAGAAAACAGGACCCCAGAGGTTTCTTGAGTCTCTGTTAACCAGGGAGGCTGGGTATAGCCCTGCCGGCCCATCCCTGAGCAGGGTACCCCCAGATGGGGCAGAGCAGGGTATGGCTGGGCGGGGCAGGGCAGGTAAAGTTTGTCCCATTTCACCCTTTGTATTTCACAAATACTTCTAGAATATTATAACTGCCTTGTAATTAGATGTTTACATATCTATCTCACTTAATAGATTGGGAATTTCTTCAGGGCTGTGACTACCAATTGATTCATTTCCGTTTCCTTAGAGTAACAGTCTCTATTAGGTGTGCAAATGTTTAAGAGGGTAAATGAGAGACCTCACTATATGTGTGTACGAGCCTTATTACAACCAGAAAGTGCCTCTGCTTATAAGAAATTGTATATTTTAATACCTTCTAGAATAGATAGATGTAAAGTTAGGACTGTAGTTGCTATGTACAGTGGATATTATACCATTGGGTGTTACTGTCAGTGGGGCTATTCCTTTCCAGATTGCTCTGGATTGTGACAAATAGACTAATCCAGTAGAGATAGGTACTGTTTTCAGGTGTAAAGTTTAGCGTTTATCCCTTGGTGCACCTCTGGAATAGCTGCTTGGAAACATGGCTGTTATTTTAGTGACCGATGCATTTGCAATTTTGAGATGTATCAATCACTAAAGATGAATTGACCACCTGCAAGATTTATTATTTGACCTCTTGGAGACTTATTTGACCTCTTTTCTTCCAGCCTAAGAGTACTATGATTACTAAGCATGCACTAAATAGCTAACTCATCTGTTGACAAGTATGCACATAGACTTTGACTGCAACTCATTAGATCCCTGAACAGAAAATTTAAAAATATTAGCATGGGGTTTATAGAGTTTGTTTTATAGAGCAGGCACCCCCAATCTCTAGACCACAGACCAGTACAGTTCATGGCCTGTTAGGAACCAGGCTACTTAGCAGGAGGTGAGCGGAGCTCTGCCTTCTGTCAGATAAGTGGAGCATTTGACAGATAAGTGGAGCATGGACCCTATTGTGAGCTGCGCATGCAAGGGGTCTAGGCTGTGCACTGCTTACGAGAATCTAATGCCTGAGATGGTGATTAGCAGTGAGGGTTGACTGCACATCCCCCACTTCTCATTGGCCCCCACTCCTATCTGTGGAAAAATTGTCTTCCGTGAAACTGGTCCCTGACTCTAAAAAGGTTGGGAATTGTTGTTATGGAGGAATAAAATGAGACCCAGAGAGTTAAAGTGGTTTATACAAGGGTCTTCCAAATTCTTATCTAGTTTAGAGACTCATGGTGGTTTTTTATTTTTAAATAGCTTTTCCCTTTCTAGAATAACTTTTCTCATCCCAATCTGCCTTTCATTTTGTAACTCTGATGAAGTTGGTATGCTCTAATCACTTTCTTTTGTTTGAAGTAGCCAGTATGCATCTAACAGACAATTAGACAAAGGTTCAGAGCTTCAGACATTGATTGTGAAGATACTTCAGTGATTTTTTGTCTCTGTGGTGATGTGGGGAGAAACAGAGATGCACCTTCTCAGAAACATTCAGTTTTTTGCTTTCTGGGAGTCTTAACATCGAGTGGCTGCATTTGGTTAAGTTTCACTGTAATTTTGCTCTTTCTTATCCTTGTTATCTATGCACTTTTCAGTGCTTTTAAACAAAAGTACAGCATTATCTTAGTTACCTAGTTTTATGCACTTTCCATGCCCCTTGTGACTTATTGCTGACCTCTTGTTGCTAGCCTGTTACTGCCCTCATTGTGGAGGAAGCTGAGATTTTCTTATCCAGGACCAGCTATAGAATAATGATAATTGATGTTCAACACAATGACACAGAGCATTACAGCATTTTAAATGACTGTTGAATTGCTTGAAGAAGCTTTCAGAAAAGTTTAAAAATCTGCTTTATTAGGTATAATTTACACACAATAAAATTCATCCATTTTAAGTGCCTAGTTCGTGTAGTTGGTTCTGACAACTGTGTATAGTCATTTAACCACCACCAGAACTGGGTTATAGAACATTTCTATCAGTCTAAAGTGTCTTCTTGCTCATTTGTAATTAGTCCTTTCCCTCTATTCCTGGGCCTCTGCCAACGCTGATCTACATTGTGTCACTAGTGTTACCTTTTCTAGAATTTAATAAGAATGAGATTATACAATATGTAGATTTTTAGCATCTGGCATTTTCATTTACCGTAATACTTTTGAGATCCATTGATGTAGTTTCATGTATTAGTAGCTTATTCCCTTTTATTGCTGAGATGTATTCCATTGTATGAATATAATACAAAATGTTTATTTGTTTGCCAGCTGGGTAGACATCTGGATGATATCTAGCTTTTAGCTATTATGAATCAGGTTTCTAGGAATGTTAGCATATAGTTTTTGTATAGACATGTCTTTTCATTTTTCTTGAGTAAGTACATAAGAGTAGGATTGCTGGGTAATATTATTAGCATACCTATAACTTTATTAAGCAACTGCCAAACTTTTTTTTCTCTTTTTTTTTTGAGTTGGAATCTCACTCTCTCGCCCAGACTGGAGTTCAGTGGCATACTCACGGCCCCCGCAGTGTCGACTTGCTGGGCTCTGGTGATCCTTCCACTTCAGCCTGCCGATAAAACTGCCAGACTTTTTCAAAGTGGCTTTACATTTTTGCATTCCCATCATCAATTTATGAGGATTCTAGTCACTCTATTTACTTTTTAAAAATTGGTGTTGTCAGTCTTTCAAATTCAAGTCATGCTAGTGGATGTGTAGTGGTGTCTCATGCTGATTTTAATTTTCATTTCCTTGATGACTAATAATATTGAGCATTTATATTTTTTGGTGAAAGATGTATTCTTTTTTTGCCAACTTTTTGGATATTTGTCTTATTGAGTTTTAAGAGTTTTAAAATGTATTTTGAATACATGTTGTTCATCAAACAAGTTTTGCAAATAGTTTTCCCCAGTTTATCTTATTCTTTTTAATTGTGTCTTTTGAAGTGCAAGCAGTTTTCAATTTTGTGAAAGTCCAGTTTCCAGTGTTTTTCTATGTAGTTTGTTCTTTTGGTGTCATATGTGAGAAATCTTTGCCAAACTCAAGATTCCAAATTTTTCTCTTGTTTTCTTTGAGAAATTCTCTCTTTTACATTTAGGTTTGTGATCTATTCAAGTTAACTTTTGTAGATGGTGTGAGATAAGAGTTGGAGTTTGTTTTCTACAGCTGGATAAGAACTTGTTCCAGTCCCATTGAAAAAACTGTCTTTATTGAATTACCTTGAGTCCTTATTACTTTGAGGTCCTTATTAATGGACCATAAGTGTGTGAGTATATTTCCAGATCCTCCTTTTCATTGCTTGATATGTCTGTACTGAAACCAATACTGTGCTGTCTTGATTACTGCAACTTTTTAGTTAATGTGGAAATCAGGTAGTGTAAGCCTTCCAATTCTGTTTTTTGAAAATTGATTTTATATTCTACATCATTTGAGTTTATGTAAATATTTTTGAATTAGCTTGCCATTTTCCTTAAGAAAGACTACTGGAGTTTTTGTGAGAAATGCATTAAATTTATAGGTCAATTTGGTAGAATAGATGACCTTAAATGATATGAAGCTAATGTATTACCATGATGTCGCTATTTTTATTTTATTTATTTATTTATTTATTTTTTAATTTATTTTTTGAGTTGGAGTCTCACTCTGTCGCCCAGACTGGAGTACAGTGGCTGCTCCCGGCCACTGCAACCTCTACCTGCTGGGCTCCGGCGATCCTTCCGCCCCAGCCTTCCGAGTAGCCAGAGTTACAGGCATGCGCTACCACACCTGGCTGATTTTTTGATTTATTGTAGAGATGAGGTCTCGCCAAGTTGCCCAGGTGGGTCTTGAACCTGCGGGCTCAGACAATCCACTCACCTCAGCCTCCCAAAGCACGGGATGACAGGCTGAGCCACCGAGCCCGGCATGTAGCTATTTTTAAAGGCCTTTCTTTTTTTAAAAAAGTAAGTTTTTTAGTTTTCAGTATATAGGCCTTGCACTTACTTCATTAAATTTATCCTTAAGTATTTCATGTTTTTGATGCTGTTGTAATTAATCGAAATTTCAGCTTGCAGTTGTCTGTTGTAGCATATAGAAGAAATACACTGGATTCTTGTATATTGCTTTGTACCCTGCCACCTTATTGCTAAAATCACT